TAACAGAAACAGCTCGCAATAGCCACAGGAACGTTGCTGCAAGACAGGCATATGTAACGACGACTTAGCGCTCTTAAACGCGTGTGTCATTAAATACAGTCCTCCTGACAACAGGCCAGTGAAAAATCTAACAATCTACAGCAAAACCATCAATTATTATGGGCGTTATAACATACGTGTGCAGCTGGACGAAACATACACGTCGAACCCCCCCAGACGATTTAAATACCTGACGAAACATACACGTCAAACCACGGCAACGGGTTAATATATCTCAGGAACTTTTGGATTGCACCACGTAACTTGTACACACAGTAAAATCTGCACTCACCCAAAGGTCCCCTGCATGTTGGACAACAAGTCAGCTTGGGCCGACAATTGGAGCAAACGAGATGTCCACTCTGACATTGCAATATTGGGGGCAGAACATAATCAAAGCATACTGGACATTCGAACAGACTTGCCAGGTCTGCCGAAACAGTTGTTGTATTGGTCGCCGTAGCTGAGGAGCTTGATGAACTGGGAAGTCCTCGACGCTTTGCTGATAGCACTACCTGATTACTCATTGTGAGATCCCTGTAACAAACAAAAAATATACTTAATTTATTCCATGTTTCAGTTCACAGAACTGTGACATTTGAAAAGTTCAAATAGGATATATAGGTAGTTATAAAATGATATAAAAGGCATAAACACGTAAGCCTTTTTTGTTTAACATGCTACTCATATTAAAACCCAGCATGGGAGGATAAGCAAGCCAGTGAGACATAACCAAGAAAGTATAAAAAATGTATACCAAAACTCTTTAAGAACTTTACAATTCAACTGCTTGTTCTATGAACCTCCTCCTAAAAATCATTTTTAATACTGTCACGTGTATTGGTGAATAAAGACAGGGTTGGGAATGTATTTTGGATTTACTGACCACTTACAGGTCTAACTACAATTAACAACCAGTTATAGCATAGCCCACATAGAACACAGTTCCCATTTTTGCATGTTCACAGGAACATGTTTACCATGCCGTTGCCTAGAAATGGGTTGCATAATCCCATTGTTCTATTGTTGCATGTGGGACCGTGTTTATGGAACCATTGCCTGTAAATGTGTTGATCAAATCCATTACAATATTAAAATGCTTTCCCTCTAATATAATGTTGAATATTTTTAACTCACTAACTGTTACAGTAAACAGTAAGAGAACTAATGCAGATGTCAATAATGTTTGTATTTTTTACTGAAGAAGGCTATATAAATATTGTCAATTCTATTGCATAACTTCAGTCCAGAATATGCAAAGTAACCCTGCATATATGACCAAAATGTCAATAAACACCCCTCCTCCCCCCCAGAAATGGTGTCAAAATAAAAGAAATACAGTTTGCTTTTCCGATGTGATTCCAAATTCTTCTTTTTGTGTAAAATCAAAACACATTTATTCGTTTCTCTACAAAGAAACCAGTGACATTCTGGGTCACTCTGCTATTAGAACAGATATCTTCTGAAAGAATACATCATGCCTACTATTCTATTAAATGCCTCCATTCCTAAGTAGATGTTAGTCACAGTGGACAGCCTCACAGGGCTGGGTACCAGGGCCTCCCATCAAGCTGAAGCAAGAACACTGGTCCAAACTACAATGGAGGTGCCTATAGCAATGACTGGAAAATGCCAGTTGCAGAACCAGACTGAAGGACACTGACGTTTGCATATACGAAGACAACACCAAACGCGACTTGTGGGAACATTGGACAAGCAAGGGGCAAACTTGCAGACAACACATAACAATGGGCTTGCATATGGAAAGGGTGAGCCGCTGCAATGTAAACAACTGAAGAAGGGTATATTGCTTAGACAAGTGGATGACGCCCTTTCTGAGGTAGAATCAGGAGTTTCATATATATAACAATTTTTTACTATTTTAAAATATTTTTAAATGGAGGGAACTGTAACATGTAAGATTTTAACACATAACAGTTGAGTGCAACTGTAACATTTTAATTACAAAATGTTCAGTTACGCACAAGTGGAATGGACAATACTCAGTGCAGTGTAGCATGTTTGGCATAATGGGACACCCGAGGATGGCCATTTTGGGCTGAAAAGTGTATTAATAGTGAAAGCAAATCTGAATGAAGAAATAAATAGTTGCATTATTCAACAAGGTTGAATATAGTAATGCAACAGGATGCATAATTCAAGATTAACAAACAGAAGGCTGTGGGTGCTGCAGTTGTAGTTTGTTGTAGTGTGTGTACATTAATTAGGCTGTCATAATCATTTATGGTTATGAGTTATAAACACCCAATAATCCAACTATCAGTCTAAAACCAATGCCTAGTCATTAACACAACAATACTATACAACTCTGCAGATAAATGCATTCATATTCTCACGTGATGAGCATGACCACAGACTGGTTTGGATCAGTAATAGGATTTACTGGACTCTTACAGATCCATGACTACAAGTCATTATAAATGTTTCACTAATATACATACTTTACAGTTCACTAGAGCACACACTTAATTCTTCTCAGCTTGCTGTGTCTTCTCCAGTCTTCTGGTAATGGCTTCCAATGGTAGACATTCCCCTTCCTCTGGGTTCCAAACTGTCTCCAACCTCAGCTACAGCAACTCTTCACTGACTGACTGACTCACTAACCAATTAATTCAACTAAACTGACTGTCCTGCTTATAACATCTCAGGCATGGACAGAACTTAAAAACACCATTACTCTTACGGTTGTAGCCAACTGTTGCCATGGAAACACGATTGTTTGTGCAGCCATTACATAGGAATGGCTGTTGTATATTTGCTTATCTAGTAGTTGTTGCCCAGCAATGGGTCTACATGCCACAATATAAAATGTCTGCCAATGTAAGACTTCTACAGGAAGACTATCTGAGAACTTGCCACAAATCATTCAGCTAGTCTGCTGGGAGGGCCATAAACATTCGCATCAACTTACTCTCCATGCATTCGGGCTTCTTGCACAGTCGATAGGCCATAAGCCTACACATATTCCAATTTCTCTTCAATACTGAACCAATAACCTCTGAACAACTGCTGTGAAGTACGCCTACGCATTATAAGCCCATCAATCACAATCTTAACCCCTTGATACTGTATTAAACATACAATCAGTCACTTCTTGCATCAAATGCCATAAGTGTTCAGCTGTGCTACCTATGTGAGAAGGGTATTTCAGCATATATTTCAAAATGTTACAGTTACACATAGAGAAACCAATTCATGCAACTGTAAATAAATATAGACAGACACAGCTGTTAATGGGTGTCAAGGAACAAATTCAAAAGACTCAGTACCCACTGGAGAGAAACATGATGAAATGTGTGCTACACTTGAACATTCCCCATGAAAATTCCTTAAATGCTTCTCATAGGAGACTATGGTTTGAAGTTTAAAGTCTGCTCTATTTCTGAGAAGGAACTTCAATGTGTGACTGTGAATATTTCATGAAGCCACAACAAATGCATGTGGGTCCACTAGTTGCACATGGCTTTCAACTTTCTGTATGTATATGATTACGTAATAAAATTGTGCAGGCAACATGCAGTGATCTCACAAAATCATGAGAATGATCATGTTCAAAGCACAGGACATGGCGAAATCAGACACATAAAAAATAAGAGGCTTAAACTTGGCAGCTGTCAAGCTTATGACCGTTGAAGTGACTATGCTGCCGTTGAAGCATGAGATAAATAAGATAGGCATGATCTACCTTGCAAAGCCTGGCTTGACAGAGGACTTTATTACATTGTATAGGGAAGAATTTTCAATGTCATATGTGCCATATTTGCACTTGACAAAGCCAAGCTTATTCATAAGAGACAAACCCATCCTCCTGTCAGAGAGGATGTTACATAAGGACTATGACTGCAAGGGATCAGTTGGGTGGGGGAATGAATCTCGTCATGAGCCTCATGAGGCTTGATGCCAAGACGAACTGATCAGCAATAAACTGCCAGTTATAAAGTAACCCTGACTCTGAAGCCAGTCAGTAGAGAGTCGCAAGTCTGCAGTTAGCACTTGGGAGTCAGACCTGTTGGAGGTTGTCGTGGACTGTCGGCAGGACTGTGGAAGGCAGAGGTTGTCATGGACAGTCTGCAGGACTGTGGAAGGCAGAGCAGCCCCCATTGTTGTAAGTCTTTGCATACCAATGCCATGTTGAGTTGTGAAATACAGGACAGCCAGCAAGGACACAAGCTGCTGAACTTGGGAACTGAAGGATCTATGGTGCTGGAGGTTGCTTCTAGACAACCAGTGAAGACATAGCAGGCTGAGAAGACCTAGTGTGTGCCTGTGTGCTGTATAGCATGTGACTTAATGAACAGTGCTGTTATTAATTGCAGTTATCAGTTTTAAGAGTTCAATAAATCTGATTACCAATTCAAACCACATCTTTCACCCCTCAGTCATGTGACATCATGTTGGAACTTTCTGATACGCAACAAATATGTCTCATAAATAAGCTATGAACATGTTAATGCACTGTGGCAGGTGATATAACATTTTTCCTTCAGAATGACCTGTGGGATGTCGTATGAATGAAGAGACAACCACTAGTTGAACTGTCCTATAGGATATATTGCAGCTGCACAGTATACACAGACGGATAACAACAATAGTGAACAATATGGACATGTCCTTTATCTCACTTGTATTGTGGATCCATGGAACGAAAAATAAATGAATGAATGAATGAACTGCTTGAACACTGAACTAGTATTGTAGAACGGCAGAACTAGACTGTAACTCAGTGTATCTTCTTATGTAGCCTAGAGTCGGACATATAGAAAACGGTTACGTAATAGGTACTGCTGTTGCCGGACGCCGTGTTTATAAGTTCCCTAGCAACCGCTGTTTACTCGCTTTTGCCTAGCAACCGTTGTTTACTCGTCGTTGCTAAGCAATGACGCTTGCGTTGTCACACTTGCTTGAATGTGGGCAGTTCCCACAACCTCTATAATCATCCCAGAAGTTACAAGATAAAATAATGGAATACCTGTACAAAAATGAACACTCTGAGAGAGTCTGTATCAAATCATCAACTCACAATGACAACCAGTATTTATCACACTGTTCAACATTCCTGAAGCATTACCATTGACAATGGTAACACTGTACAACAATGATTTTCTCTTTAGTGTAAGGCTGGTGATTTCAGTATGTTTGCATGTGCAGATTATGAAAACAACATATCATCTACCATTTTCTTTGGAAAAATACATTTGTGGCTTCTTTGAAGAATACAAGAATATATAACATCTCAAATATATTCAGCTTGGAGAGCAGCAAGCATAGAGCTAGTGGTTAATATAATGCAAAATATCACTCAACCACTTGTCAGGAGATAGTCATGTCATGCATTAACTTGTCAACAAAACTGCCATGTCATATCCAGCTGGCTACCCTCCAGCTTACTGTCCATCAGTGTTTCTCAACTGCCAGGCCACGGCCCATTACCAGACCCTGGCATCAATTATACTGCACACTTGTCTTATATAAAAAAGAATTTACTGGGCTGCAGTTTGATGAAGGTTGAGAATCACTACTGTACATGAAGACCCAACCCAACCTTTTCCCTTGAAAAGTGCGGGTGATATAAAATTCTGAAGCTCTGACTGCAATTCAGTACACTGAAGTTTTAAAATCATCCACTTTTCTTGAACGGAGAGAAAAAAAAAAGTTCAATTTGTTGTACAATGTAACCACGAATGAACATGCTTGTCTTCATTGCAACCTTATTCATTATGAGGCAAAACTGAAACTAAATGCTTACTTGTGTGAGCATGAATCATTTCAGTGCCATTTACTGATGGTGCTCGGCCTTAGTTATTCTAAGCTTGTGTCAGGATGAACTGTAGATAAGCTGTCAATGGCTGGTGGTCAGGAAGTGACAGATGCACGTAACTTAGCAGCAAGATGACCTGTAGTATCTGCAATGTAATTCACCCTGAAATCTATGGACACACTAATGTGAAGATGCTAGTTGCTACTCTATGTGCAAAGTTATCAGTTTTGCAATGAATGTGTACTCTTATGATATTGTATAATGGCAACTGTTAAGAGTTGAGAATGCATATAGATAAAGGTAAAGTTGTCCCTGTACTTAAATTAAGCACGCCATGAAGGCGTATGGGGGGTGTGGATGTATAGATCCACATTTTCTTAACTTCGGCACTAGCTGGGGGTGAGTGGTCAGCTTCACGCCCCGGCCGCCTTAACCCCGGGGAAAGAGCCCCCGCTACCCAAAACTTCAATTACAGCAACTACATTTACAGATATACATCACGTCCGTTCACTCATAAAACACTATCTTTCAACTGCACAGAATTGGTTAATTCGTCACATCATTGTGTCTGTTACCACATGAAAACACAACTTTTTAAACTGTGACAATCTGGTTTGTACATTACGAAATTCATACACTTTCATGTAATTTTCCTAACGCTGTTTGGTTATCTCACCTATGATAGAAATTCCAAACTGATAAACTTTCATCGTAATGACATACTTCTGAATTTTCCCATAACAGAAAACTTTACCTCTTTCACAGAAGTTCACCTTTTATTTTTAATGTCTCCTACACCTTAAATCACGTACGAAAGGCTTGCTAACATTCTGCACCTCACTTACATAATGTTTGCTACAAATATTCATATCAAATATACAACTGCATTTTACACGAAAATTACCGCAGCTTCGATAATTACATTACTTGCTTTCCTATATACTAACTACTCGTCCTCACTATCCTCACAATTGCTCACAATAGTTGACAAAAGCATTAAAGGTTTTGAAGTGACATGGTTCATAGACTAAATACGGATAATACCATATATGAACCACGGTTGTTCCTAATGTCAAAGAAAATCAGAATTCGTGAAAGGGACACAAACTCAACTACTATGGGCGCTGACAAATTCTAATCGACTCATTTCATTGTTGCCAACTTCAGAATAATTACGTAAGACTCCTGAAATGCGATTCTGCGTTAAGGAATTAAGGAACACGGTTTCCTAGAAAACATTGACCACCGTTACCACGTAAAATAGCGGTGCCGCCCATTATGACGGCGGTGAGTGCGGCGACAAACAGTTCTAGCAATGTTTTTGTACGGTACGGTGGAAGGTGCCGTGAACTCACAACATGACGTGTTGGAGTAGCGAAGAAGGCGAAGAACCATGAGATGTTATATAATGTGAAGAGCAAAGACTACAGCTGAAGCAAAATCTGTGGTGTGAAATTGGCGGTACACTTAATAAAACAGGTATGATATATAAATATATTTTATTTTTATGTTAAAACATTTTAATTTACATGTTTTTAAAACAACTACATTGTTTACAATGGATAAAAATTAGGTTTCTTAGTAATGTTATTCATAATTATTCTGCCACTCAACGGCACCTGGACCATTGAAATAGGTTTTGAATATTTCTCGGATTTCCGTGGGTGACTTTCATGCACGGACGTTATTTGCTGCTAGAGGGAATACATTTTCTGTAGGTAATGGAAGTGCATCATCAAAATGCACTTGAGTTGGAGCGAGTACTTTTGATTCCCGTAACATATGTAAAATACAGGCACATGTAATCAACTTGTCGGCAGTTTCTGGGACAGTAGCGATCGGCAGGAAAAATATTCGAAAATAAGCACATAAAATTCCGAAAGCATTTTCAGTCGTTCTTCTAGCTCGAGAAAGTCAATAGTTATATACAGCTTTTGATGGATTACTCAGAGTTTGCTTCCTCAGATAGGGTTTCACAAAATTTTCGTGTAAAGCAAAAGCTTCGTCTTCAACAATTACATGTGGTACAACATTATCTGTTCCAGGAAAATGCTTTTGGTGGGGGTATATTAAATGTATTGGTCCAGATGTTTTGTCCTGCATCTCCTTCTCTGCCATAAGAATCGATGTCTATTGCAACAAATTTGCATTCCGCATCGACAACTGCTAGCATAACGATTGAATAAAACTCCTTGTAGTGAAAGAATGTCCACTGTTTTTGGGAGCCCTTATCCTTATATGTTTCCCGTCAAACGCTCCCACACAGTTTGGTAAATTCCGTGTTGACAAATATGTATTAGCAATTCTTCACAGTTGTTGATGGCATTATTAAATTGAACATAGTTTTCGTGATGCTGTCAGCAACTTGTTTTGTTATGACACTTATCCAAGAATGGCCTATTCAAAATTGGAAAGAAAGTGATCTGAATAACTCTCCTGTGGCCAAGTACCTGAAAGAAAAAAAAGAAGTTATAAGAAATGTTTTAATTTACAGAATTATTTATTGCAGATGTTGACTGCAGCAAGAGATGGGCCTACGTAAGAGATTATTATATTAGACGGAGAGGAAAACCTGACACTGGTTCCAGTGGTGAGGCAGCAAAGAAGAGGTCTGTGCTCCTATCATTCTTAGATGGCTTCAGTTCATCAAAAAGAAGGTAGCAGAAGGAACGTACATACATGGACTGTTAAACACATAACCCGTCTCCTTTGTAGTCGCATAAAATTATTTTTTTTCCCATTGTAACATTTGTTTTGGAACGTTGGAAAAAAGATACCTTTCCAATTGAACAGATGCATATTGGGACACTATTTGTGAGTATCTTACTAATGGCATTATAATATGTTATTTTAAATTTCAGCACTGTTACCAATGTTGTTGGAGATGAGAATAGTAAGGACATAAATACCAATGAGACTGTGGCCACGGAGGTACTTACCAGGTACATATCAGGCGTACCAGCAGAAGCATCGGACGCATTTTGGATGATGAGGTTTGTCTGCTATGACAGAATATATATTGTCACGTGTGTATGGCAGCGTGACTAATAATAATGGATTTTGGTTTGGGTTTATTCATTCATTCATTTTCCATAAATCCATACAGAAAACAATTTCATAGGATGTGGAAGTAGTCACAAATAAAACAGTACAACGTACATATAGTCATACACATTAGTAAGCACCTTATACCAGCCCTGTCCAACGCGGTGCCCACGGGCGCCATGACGCTCGTGGTATATTTTTCTGGTGCCCTCCGTAACCACATATAATTGAGCCGATTTTTAATATTAATTCAAATTGTAAGACAAGAGACATTTTTGAACGTCTGAGTACTGTTAAATCATCATCATCAGTAATCTGTCAAGACGACAGGTCCACAGTCTCTTCCAAAACAATTCCTCCATTTAATGCGATCTAGTGCTTCCTCCTTCAAATGACAGTATCCTCTTCTGTCCCCAAGGTCATCCAGCATCTTCTTACATCTTCTTCCTCGTCTTCTGGTCACTTCTATCCGCCCCTCTATCTTTCCTTCGATAACTTCTTTTAGAAGGCAGTTTCTGTGTAAAACATGACCAATCCAATTAGCCTTCCGTTTTCTTATTTCATGTAGGATATTCCTCTGCTCACTGACTCTAATTAACACTTCTTCATTTCTCACATAATCGGTCCAACTGATCTTCTCCATTCTTCTCCAACACCACATTTCGAAACTTTCCAGATGTTTCTGATCTACTGCCCTAAGTGTCCATGTTTCAGCCCCATACAGAGCTATGCTCCACATGTAGCATTTCACTAGTTTCTTCCTTAAATTTAATTTA